ATATGGTTTCCTCTGCCGCCCCTGAGTGGTCAAGGCTGGTATCTGCACCCATCTCTACTCAGTGGTGCTGACAGTAATCTATTTTCAAGCATCTGAAATGCCCCAAAATCCAAAATATTATGAATGTCAACATGATGGATTATGGTTGCTCTACCAGCAAAATAGTTTACAAAATCTGGGGGAAAAAACCAACTCTGAACTGGGAAGCACTTTTGAATAAGGAACATACTCAATTTGTAGAAATAGAAATAATTCACAACACTCATTATATGCTAGCTCCTTATAACAAAGTGGCAAGCAGTCACATTAGAAAAAAACTTGCCAAGGTGACATTAAATGCTGTAGGAAATCGGAGAGAATTTTGTAAGGCTTTGTATAACAAATACTTTCTTTTTTATGCATTGTAAAGGTGATTAACAGGAAGGTTATAGAAGTAAGGTAATGAGTACATCTCTTTTTGAACTTACCCCCTCCATTTTTCTCACTTTCCCCTCCCCACTCAATACTTTCTCATTTCTAATACTATTTTATTAGGTAGCTGGTGACTCATGAATTATCACTGAAATCTAAGTCTACCTAAAATTTCCTATTTTCTTAATGGTAATTAAGAAACAGATCAGGAGCTGGGAAGGTGGCTCTGTGGTAGAGCACTTGCCTTGCATGCCTGAGGACCTGGGTTCGATTCCTCAGCACCACATAAGCAAAAAGAAAAATGCCGGAAGTGGTGCTGTGGCTCAAGTGGTAGAGCGCTAGCCTTGAGCTGAAGAGCTGAGGGACAGTGTCCAGGCCCAGAGTTTAAAAAAAAGAAAGAAAGAAAAGAAAAGAAACAGATCAAAGAATGTACAAAAGATGACAAACTTGTAAGTGAGAAAGTCCAGATTTTACCCAGGGTCTGCTTTGGGGCTGGCTCTCAGCTCCACAGCACTGGCCTAGAGTTCTGTCACAGGGATAGCTAGCTTATCAACCCAAGAGTATTGTAGGTATTAGGATAATTCTTCTCAGAACTCCTACCAACCAATAGCTGAAACATCCTGCAGTCCAATAGTGTGTCACATCACATTTACATCCCTTTCTTTCTACCTACACTGTACCTATGTAAATAAGGTCTCACTTCTAAGGCACTGTGGCACTTTCTTACCTAGGTGACCTCTCCACTCTCACTTGGGCCAAACTTTGGACCTGAGCTACATAAAAGCCTGCAGCACTGATTCTTAGTCTCACACTAACCACACACCTGCCCTGGTGTCTCAGGCATTCTCCTTCTTATTCAGGATGTAAGCAGGACAGCACTATAATCTTCTCATTTGTTTTCTGTAGGACATAGTTATGAAGGGTTAAACCAGAGTTCAGAAAAACAATTTCCCATTACTCACATGGTCACAATCAGGACAATCTCTTTAGAACTTTAATTTTCCCTTACATGAGATTTTGGATTGTGATTAAATTGTGGGAGTGGTAATTACTCCTCTTTAAAGAGCCATTCCAGGTAAAGCTGTTTTAAGGAGAAACACAGTATAATTGCATACACACAAGCACAGACTCCTGTACTGCAGAGGTTACAAGACTGTAGTAGGCTAATAATCCTTACCGTTCCCATTCTAATCTCTGAAACTTGTGAATGTCACTTTTATAGAAAAAAAAAGACTTTGTAGCTGGTCACCAGTGGCTCACACTTATAGTTCTAGCTGCTCAGGAGCTCAGATCTGAAGACTGTGACACTCTTATCTCCAATTAACCACAAAGACAGAATCAGAGCAGTGGCTCAAGTGGTAAAGCATCAGCCATAGGTGAAAAAGCTAAAGGTCAGTGCCCCAGACCTGACTTCAAGCCCCAGGATAAGAGTAAGTGAGAGAGAGAAAGAGAGTGTGTATGTGAGTTTGTGTGTGTGTGTGTGTAAGAGAGAGACAGACAGACAGAGACAGAGACAAAGAGAGACAGACAGACAGACAGAGACAGAGATAGAGACAGTTTGCAGATATGATCAAGTTAAGTTTTTGAGAGTAGAAGATTATCCCAACATAATCACAGAGCTCTTTACAGAACAATCTTAGGAGTAGTCAGAGAGAAGGCAGAGGGAGGGAGTGCCAAGGAGTGTCACAGTGGCACAGCTGGAGAAAGACTCTATCAACCATTGTTAGATTGTTAAGATCGTGTAGGTCATGAGTTTAGAAACATGAGTGCCCATAGGGGGAAAAAGGCATGGAAATGGACCTTCCCCCAAAGCCTGAATAACAAACATAACCTTCTGACACTGAGACTTATTTCAGCACAGTGAGAACTATGCACTGTTGCTAAGGTTGTGGTACTATGACAGAGTAACTTTGTGTTGTTTTAAACCACTGAAATTTATAGTAATTTATTGTGGTGGTGATGGGAAATTAATACACATAGCAATACATGGGGAGGGCTTACAAATCCACAAGTCTGTGGATGAATGAAAACCTCTTCAAGCCTTCTAAGACTCTATGCACTGATGTACCATCTAGGTACAGCTGATGCTTCTAAAAAATAAGTATACACAATATTTTGCAAATAAAATTCAATGCATTCTAATACTTTAATGTATTCTAAAATAAGGAAGAATACTTGAGGATAAACTTGCACTGGATTTATAGATACTTCATCTTAAGCAACAGAGAAAAATATGTAAACGTTTCTCTTTTGCAGTTGCTAGTTTGCAGTATCGAGTATACTATAAATATTTTATAATGCAGACATATTTCAGCATTTAAGGTTCAGGAGAGCAAATCCCAAACCAAGCAAATGCAAAAAAGAAAAGAAAAGAAAAAGCTGGATTTATGTGATGCTTTATTGCTTGTATAAATTTCATGTTATGAGTGAGTAGATTACTGTTGCTAAGTCTATGCTTGCCATTCTTTCATGTTGAGATCACTTGAATCAGAGAGCCATCTACAAAATAAGCATTTTTAACCAAATGATTTACTAGATCCTATGAGGTCTAATAAAAAATTATTTTGTGGGGAAGATAAAGTCATGTGCCATTCTTACGAAAAATCTCTGGTTATTACAGGCATAGTTAGAAAAATAATTAGCATACAATTCAATTCAGCTCGCCATCATGGCGCCTGGTCTTTTTGGAGCATCAGCACTCTTCCGGGAGGCTACAGGGTGGGGCCCTCCTGGAGAATGCCTGCATGGCAGGGCACCGCTTGGACCTAAGGGTTGTGTTCTTGCTGCATATCTGACGACGCCCCCGTGTGGCCAGACTCAGGTGTTTCACCTGAGACGCCAAGTCCCACCTACATCTCCAGAGCCAGCTGGGGGTGTGGGTCCTCCACTCAAGAGTTATGCCTGGCGCCCGTGGCTCACGCCTGTAATCCTAGCTACTCAGGAGGCTGAGATCTGAAGATCATGGTTCAAAGCCAGCCCGAGCAGGAAAGTCCGTAAGACTCTTATCTCCAATAAACCACTAGAAAACCGGAAGTGGTGCTGTGGCTCAAGTGGTGGAGTGCTCGCCTTGAGCTGAAGAGCTGAGGGACAAGAGTTCCCCACCACAAGCATCCGGGGTGGTTCTCCCAGTAATATGAGGGCTGCTTCTGGCCTTTAATGGGCCTTTCAGATTGTATTCTCTGTCTTTTCTGGCCTCTGATCAATTAGGTGATGCAGCATGCTCTAGTGCAGATCAAGGGCATTCCTTGGACTGGAATGAGAGTGCCAGACTAGCACCATCCACCAGTACCTGGCCTGTCAAACCACCAAGCGGCCAAGTGAAAGGCAGGAAGCAGCCGTTCCTGCTTTCCTTCCCCTTTCCCTGTCGCCCTTCTAAGGTCGCTGTGATTACAGCCTATAGTAATTGAAAACAGGCAAGATTGGGAAAAAAATGTGTGGTAATTTTAACTGAATGGAAAACAAGTGATCATTCACATTTCCCTGAATACTTTGGGTTGGACCTGTATTGGGTGGTGAAGAAAGCGTACTTCCATTGCTTCCTCAAAGTTTAAAAGAGTTCAATACTCAGTATTTGAAACATGGGATCACCACCAAAGTTTGCCTGGGTAAATTGGCTATAACGTATTCCCCTGCTAAAACACTCAATTAAAAAAATAATCAAGATGCCTTTTAATACGTGTGACTAAATGCACTTCATAAAAGTAGTCATATGATTAGCCTTCGCTATTATGGCTGACAATTCTGTGTGCAGTGATGAGCCGATAGTTATTCTCAGAAGTGGCACTTCCGTTCATGACATAGCAGCGTTACCCTGTCTATCCAAGTGTCATTGAAACCAGCATCTTTTGCCATTTACAGCCACGCACGGCATGCACAGGTGCAGGTCTGCGCTGCGTCGTTTGCTTCAGGATCTCACACGACGTTTTGTGTGGTTGCTGTGGTTTCTGTGCGGTCCCGGGGTGTGCACGCGGGGCCGGGCACGGTCCTGGCCTTTGTGCTCATCAGGTCTAGCGCTCGACCGCTTGGGCCACAGCTCCGCTTGGGCTTTTTTTTTGGGGGGGGGGGGTAATTTCAGAAGCGCACGGGCTTTCCTGCCTGGGCTGGCTTCGAACTTCCATCCTCAGATCTCAGCCTCCTGAGCAGCAAGGATTACAGCAGCGGGGCGACCCTCCCAAACCCGTCCCGCCGACGACCGTCAGGCTTCCCACTCCCCCTGAGCCGGGTTCCACCACGGGCCCGCCCGCTCCCCCACCTCCGGCGGAACTCCAGGCCGCTCGGGCTTCCGGAAGCCCGGCCATCCGAGGAACACACGGGGCCGCCGCAAACCGGAAACCGGAGAAATCTGAAATTCAAGGTCGTCCCGGGTCCCGCCGGCGGCGACGTCGTCCCGCCCAGCGCCCACGCTGGCGCTCGGCCCAGGCGTTTAGAGCGAGGATGCCGCTCGGAGGGGACTTCAAAGCCCGGCAGCTCTCCTTAGGTGTCCTTGGCGAATGCCGGAGCGAGTGGTTTCATTATCCAGCAAATCCGAAGCGAGCGTGGGACAGGCGTTGAATTGGCTTCCCCGAGGCCAGGCAGAACGAGTCGAACGCCGATCGAGGGAGCAGAACCGGGAGAACGGCGCGGAACTGTTAGCTCAGTAGGCCGGGCCTGGCTGTAGCTCCCCGGGCCTGGAGAGTCGGGCTCTGCGCCTGCGTCCACCTGGCAGCCGGCGCGGCGGCGGTCTGGGCTGCACCGCGCCGCCCAAGTGTCCGGCGATCCATGGGCCAGCAGCGAGGGCCACGATGACAGATTACGGCGAGGAGCAGCGCAACGAGCTGGAGGCCCTGGAGGCCATCTACCCCGACTCCTTCACAGGTGACGCTCGAGGCCGCGAGCCCGCAGCCGCCCTGAGGTGGGCCGAGAACGGGCCGGAGCCGCCGCGGCCCTCGGCCTCGGGGCCGGGGTGAGGGGGGAGATCGGGGCCCGCGAGGTCGCAGGACCGCCTCACCCGCCGCTCCGGGTCAGTCAGTTACCACGAACCCCGGGGCAGCTCCCGCGCCCCCACCCCGCCCCGCCCCGCTTATCCTGTAGCCTTGGGAGTACGGATGGCGCGGGCGGGACCTCGGAGACCCCGAATCGGGCCTGGGTTCACTGGGATGCACGGAGAGAAAAGGAATCCTCCGAGAGAGATCGAGGCTTCTCCGGGTCGGAGGTAGCTGTTTTTCTCTCGGCGGCGTGTGAACATTGGTGGAAGTCTGAGTCAGGATAGAGAAGTAGCCTAGCCCCTGGAGCTCGTCGGCTTACTTTAAGAACGGAAATCGCACGGCATTCTGCAGAATGTCGAGTGAATGATGCCCCTTCCACGTTTCTGTTCTGCTGTAGAACACAGGTGAGGGGATCAGACCGGAAGGGGGGGGATTAGACATCACCTAGGTTGCCATGGAGGCTCAGGAAAGGTAAGTAAGTAGCTGGCTCTGTCTGGTCTGCCGTCGAGGTAGTGCAGACTGGTATTAAGTTCTGGGGGTTTGGGTCCAGTTCTAAAGCTGAGATGAGGGAGGGCAGACTTCTTGGTTAGGTTAGGCTAGGCAAACGTATCGATAGGTCCATTCGCTCCATTTTAAAGAAAGAGAATTCTTCCATATTAAAGCCGTGCTTCACCGGATTCTGAGAACGCTCCAAGATCACTGGATCGCTGATTTCTCTCAGCTATGAAAAGCAGTGCAAGGAAAGCTGGTATGCGTGTGAAGCCTTTAGGTTTGCAAGACTGACATTCCTTTGCCTGTTCTTCTGACTGTTGCCCATGATTGAGTGTCAGAATTCAGAGTGTGACTCTTTAACTCATGAAGTCCAGCCCTCTCCCTTGGTTTAGTGTAGATTTTTTTCCTTGACTTCACCTTTTTTGACCACTGTTTGAAATGGTAGAAAATTTTGTTCTGCTTTGCCAACAGGCAGATGTCTCTCAGCTACCCCTGTATAGCTCCAGTCCTGTTCATGTTCTCTCACCAGCAATACAGCTGTGCTGTGAGGATGTTAAGGGGATGAGTGAAGAGGGGTTTGAGAGTGTCATTATCTGGGTGAGTGTGTATGGAGTCTGGCTCCCTTCTCTCTCCTTGCTTATATGTCATGTCTAACTAAAATAGGATCCAAGAGTCAGTTCGTGGATATGCTCTTAATCACAATGTTTGGTTAGTTCCACTATTTGGGAAATATAATAGGTGAGAACACTGTAGATAGAGATAATAAAACATCAGCTGTACTTACTGTTCGTTTCTTTGTACATAGGGTAGATGTGTTATTAAATAACTGCATATGTGCGCTTACAAAGGTGACATGCATGTGTAGCCTTAAAACAACCTTGTGAGTATCTTAACTTATAGTAGGCCCTAATAGCTCTGGTACATGAAATTCTTGTCAGATGCAGAAAGTGCTGGAGGATTCTGAGCCAGGGAAATAAATGATGAATTTTCTGATTCTTTCAGATATTCTGCTATTATCAGTTGAGTTTATCTGTGATTCCTGTCAGCATCTATACAAGATTTACAATAAATAAGATCTTGATATATAGTTCTTAGGGACTTAGGTACTTGTACTTTTTCCAGTACAGGCAGAGAACCTTAAAGTGTTTTCAAGTTTGATGTTTTTGAAATTTTTAAAGTTTGTAAGATTTGCTATTTTACACCCTTCCATACATTTGAACTTCTGTGTCCAGTGAAAGAGAGCTTGCTATGTCATATCGCCAAGGAGCACTTTTCATTTTGAATCTCATTAAATATTAGGTTTAGTAAATGCTTCATCTATTGATGAAGGAAGTAGATACCCTTTTAATGTGTTACTAAGAAGCATTTGTTAAGTACACATGACCTTATATGGTTATTGAGTGGACATAATTCCAGCCCATAGACCTAGCTTAATCTCAGAATTACTTATATTTACAAAGATCTTTTGGTCCAATGTTGCATTTGCTGTGAATTATATCATATCATAATACAATTTCTTCTTTTTGCCTATTCTGTAGCTTGATTGCACATTGATCCAACCCTCCTAACAACTAGTCTTCCAAAATATAAATGGACTCTTCTGATACCACATTCTCCTTCAGTAGTGCTTCACATGACAAGGTCCTGCTAAGGTAGTAGAATTTGGTTATTTCCATTGCTATATCAAAATCTCTGGCTGTGGGGAGTTTTGTTGGAATAAACTAGTTGACAGTTCAATAAACTAGTTGACTTAAGTTCCCTTAATTTTGTTTACCTTACCAAGATGGGTACAATACACACTTGCTGTGTCAGTCTGCTAAGTAGCAGCCATGAGCACTTAATAGTTACAGTAGTATCTTAGAGCAGAAATCATCTAGTAAAAACTATTTTTGTGAGACATACTTTTTGAAAGGTTAGATACTCCCTAACAACCAAAGGGACTTAGTAGGGGCTTTCTGATTCTTTGTGAAAACCTAAGGTCATTTGTGTATCCATATCCATTAGCCTGTTTTTGACAAAACCCTTAAATTCTGTCCATTTTATCATCATAAACACTACATCACCTAACTCACCCCTCCTGTTTCAGTAGGTCCCTATGCCCAGCAGCCTTCTCCTTTCTGTAAAAGTAATTTCAACCACACACAATGGTGGAGGTCTGGCATCCATCATTTACCGATAGCTCATACTAATACCTTAGAATGGAATTGTTAAACATTTTTATTGTAAAGGTGATATACAGGGGGTTTCAGTTACATAAGTCAGATATGAAGTACATTTTTGGAACAGTGTCATCTCTTCCCTCATTTTCTCAGTTTTTTCTCTCTTGACCTCCTCTTCCCCTCAAGTTGTATAGTTCATTTTCAACGTAGTGTCCAGAGAGTATCACTGCTGAATTAGTTCACCCCTTGTCCCACCATTTCTGTGCTTCCCCTGCTCCTCTCCAAATAGAATGGAATTTTTTTCAGCATAACTCAGGAATCTGCCAGGCACAGTCACTCATTTCTGTAATCCTTGCTATGTGGGAGACAGATCAAAGTATCAAGGTTCAAAGCCATGGGGCAACAAGTTAGTGAAATTCCCTACAATCAACAAGCTGTGAGTGGTGATCTGTGTTTGTACTGCCAGATATACTGGGAGCATAGATGGGAGGAGGATTGTGGTCTGAGGCCAGCCACAGGCAAAAATAATAATAATAATAAAATAAAAACTCTACTTGGAACAATAACAAAGCATAAATGGGCTAAGGAAATGGCTCAAGTGGTAGAGCCTAGCAAGTGTGAGACACTGAGATGCTAGAACCATGGCCAAAAACAAAAAAAACTGAGGAATTAACTGAGCATAGTGGCTGTAATCTCAACATCCTAGCACGTGAGAGGCAGAGCAAAAGGACACAGTTCAAAGCCAGTTTGGGCTACATAATGAGTTTCAGGCCAGACTGGTCCACCCATGAAACCCTGTCTTACTAAAACAAAACAGAACAAAACAAAAAACAATAAAATCCCCTCTGGACTCATACATTTTTTGCAAACCCTGATGGATCTCACCATCCCTATTTATTAGTTATTGTACAAGTTCAACATATTAACCCCTCTCCTACATTTTTTTTTAATTTAGCTGTGACAGAAAATCCCAAATAGCAATGGTTTTTACAGTGGCTAAAGTTTGCTTTTTCTTCATATCAAAGAATTGTGGCAGCTCCACCTCCAGACAGGAAAGAGACTTGTCCAGACTCAAAGTTGTGTGCTTACCCTCTTAGATAAGATGGCATCATCGTTCTCTTTCTAACATCAGAATGGATAAAGGAATGAAGGGGGGTGCAGTGCTGGAGAGGAGGGAGGAAGGTAAAAACCCGAAGTTTCTCAAGGAAATTTCCCAGAAACTGCGCAAGGTCACATCTGTTCCCATCTTGTTAGCTGTAACTGCATCATTTCATTAGAAATATTGTGTCATTCTTATTCTTTGGTAAATATGCTTAGAAAAAAATGTCATAATTGGACAGAGGGAGAGTGAATATTTGAAGACTTAGCAGTATTCCCCAGTAGTCTTTTCCTTTGTTCTACCTTGTTCCCATATTTTCCTTTGTAGTGATACCTTGGTGTGGTATTTTTGCAAGCCTTTTAATTTACCTATTTAATGGGAAACAATGAACATGCTGTATAACTATCTAAGGAGTATAAAATACTCTGCCTGAAACGTACCATTTTAGTTTTTGACTCTTCTAATAATGTGCCTAAGAGTTCTTTGCCTTTATTAACTGCTAACTTTGATTTTTGCCTTTGCTGCATGTGGACATGGGCACCCCTTGGTAATACCATCTCTGAAAGGCCTCCCATCCATGCAGCTCTTTTGTTGTCAGGTTCCTACATTGTTCTAAGCTAATTATCTCCATAATCTTTTGGTTTCCTCATTTACCAGATGTTTATCTGATGCCATGCATTTAGGCAAAGCAACAGTCTGAGTTGTTTTGGAGAACTGAAAGGTGATGATTTATATGAAGGGAAAGATTAGTATGTGCATAAGCAGGACTCTGAGACATTGTGAATAAATAGTTTGGTATTGCCAGAACATAAAACTCATGGGAAATGAGACCTGATAAGTCACATGGGCCAGTTCGTAGGGAGCCTTGTCAGTGATTTAGACATGGTTTTACAGAACAATGCTTCTTTACGTACATGGCTACATACTATAGTGCACATTGCAGGCACAGCTCTATCAAATGCAGATTCTGCTAGTTGAGTAGTTTCATATATAAAATAGACTTCAAGTTATGTGTGCTTTCCAGAGTCTTAACTCTTGCCCCTTTTTTCACAGTGATGCTAACACACTTAGGCAGGTGTAAGCAGGTAATGATGTGATAAAAATCTGAATGTGATAAAAATGTGCTTGCTTAGAAAACTGTTAAAGCAGTAGTGAGCATGGGGGGGGGGGGTAGCATGGGCTACCTCTTAAAAACTCTTCCTTTGATTTGTATAACACTGTTTTCTCTTGAGTTTGTTATTCACTCTTATGGTTGTTTCTAATAATCTTTAGTCAGTTTTTTACTTTGTTTTCCAAGTAATAGATTTTTTTTTTAACCAAGCTGGCATTCACTTTTATTTTTCTATTACCTTTTCTCCTTGATGTTCACATTTAGTCTAGTGACTTTAGCTCTCACATTGCTATAGATAATCCTAAATGAAAATAAAGCCTAGTTCTCATTATTTCCATTTCTCATCTGATGTCTACTCGATGCCTCATAAGTACATGTCTGGTTTTCTTTTGTATTCCTCATTTGAGTTCTCCATGCCACATCCTCAGCCTGCAAACTCTCCGTGTCATCCTTGTGGTGACTTCCTCCTGGTCTCCTGCCGTTCTCACAGCTGACAACCTTGTTTGAAACCTCATTGGTTTGACCTCATTTGTAGCAGCAATTAACTATATTATTACTAAAATCTGTTACCATGCAGGACTTAAATTTCAACTGTATTTCACCTACTTCACTGACATATTTGTTCATCAAGCGAAAGCTATAATCAGTCCCTGAACGTTCCACTGGCTTTTCATCCATTGTGCTCTTACTGCCGTGGTACACTCACCAATATGCCCACCATGGTTTTTAGCATAATTCAAATGACATCCTGGAATTTCTCAACTGATTTTTTTTTTAAATAAAGCACTTTATTGTTTAGTTCTACAGTTACTGGTTATAGAACCTTGAGTGATTTATGAAAAGGTCTGTGTCTTGAGTTCTAATATCTATGAACTTGGGGCTAATAATGTCATTGCTTTAAAGACCACATATTCTTACATTTTAACAGTACTGAAATAGGAAGTTATTGATTACAGGACATAGTTTAATTTACAGCCTTATTTTCTTAGTGGCATAGAAGTAAAAATAGTGCATACTTGATGAGGTCTTAAATTTGGTGAAATATAGCAAGAAAACCATAGTTTTGATGTTAGATTTAAAGAGATTTTATGCAAATGCACAGCACAGGATAGGCACAAAATGATGGTCAGTCAGAGTTAGCTGTTATACTGAATATAGGGTATCCCTACATTGGGGACTTGACAGAGTCCTTGTTGCAAGGAGTAGCAAGTTGGAATGTCATGATTAAACTCTTATTTCTGTGATTGCAGTGTTTATATTTCATGGTATGTAAATAGTAAAATTGGTCATGAAGTAAAACACATGTGTTTTAAAACATGTATTTATTTAGAAATAGGTAAGACCAGTCATTTTGAGAGAAAGCTTATGAGTTTTCAATAACTTTTCAGGATAGGCTGAATTGCCTAAGACCTAGTACAGGATGAGTACAATAAGTGTTTCGTCTGCCCTGATAACATCTTCTAATAACCCCAGATGTTCACCTTTGCTTCAAGTGCCTTAAACCTGGGTTAAAATTAAATGAAGGTATCTGTCCCAGAAATATTGGTAATCTGTATTTATTATGGTGGCTTAACCAGGTTCCTGGATACTAAAGGCAAATAGTTTCGATGGTAACTTCTTTAAGTGATCTTTGCTCTTTCATATCAGAAAGAGTCCACAGAGCTCCTGTCAACCTTAACAGGTGCCAGTACTTCCCTAGTATAGAATAAAGCATATAGAGTTTTCTCTAAGGCTTAGCAACTATCGCTACTGATAAAAACTTCCCTTGTTTACTATTCACATGGTTTTGAATTCAGGTTTCCTTTGTTAACTGTTTTTCTCCTTTTCTCCCATTAGTCTTTGTTTCATTAAGCCAATATATATTGAGTGTCTAAAGCCTGTGAGGCACTGGTCTGGGAGCTCCCATAGAAAGCATTTGTATAATATCCTTGAAATAATTAATAAAGCTTTCATATGTATATAAGAATTGATTTATATGTCTTGTCTTCCTTAATAAATTTAAGCTATTTACTGCTCATATTTATAGCTAATTTCTATCGTAATTCCATGAAGATGGTAAAAGTTCGATAAATATTTGTGAAAGATTAAATTTGGTTTCACTAAAGATCTAGTCAATACTAGAAAGATAGAAAAGTATAAAATCAGTGACAACATGAATATCAGTGGGTAGTATTGAAGAGGAACACCAAAGTTTTTGCTATATTCTATTTGGAGTTTTTTCTTAGGAACTTAATTTTTCATGTATATGAAGAGCTTTAGAAATAAAACATAAACTACCTACTATTTTGATTGTATAGGTAAGACATCAAGAGGGTTTATTAATCTTTCCAGATTAAAGAAAACTCACCTTGATTAGGAAATTAATGTAGTCTTTATATTATTCTGCTCAGTTTATATATATTAAAATAAAAATACAGGTTAAGGACTAGTTTTTAGGACTGGGTAGTGATACACTTATGATAAGAAATAACATCTGCCTTAGGAAGTAGGCTCCTAACTTTTATGTATGTTTTCTTGCAGTATTATCAGAAAATCCACACAGCTTCACCATTACTGTTACATCTGAGGCTGGAGAAAATGATGAAAGTAAGTCTCATCCTAAATACTTTTTTTCCTTTAGCTTTTTAGAAATTCCATTCATTCTGTAGTCATTGTGCTGGGCATTGTTTGTGTAAAGGTACTAAGGTACTGTTAAGATTAACATGACTAGGTGCTGGTGGCTTATGGCTGTAATTGTAGCTACTCAGGAGGCTGAGATCTGAGGATCTCAGATCAAAGCCAGCCTGGGTAGGAAAGTCTATGAGACTCTGATCTCCAATAAAAAAAAAAAACCACCAGAAAACCCAATAACAAGTGAATTTAGCCACCTGGAAAGCCCATCCCACTGCAGAGCTAGTCCAGAAAACACTTCTCCATATCCACTTATTTCACACAACCCTCCTTTCCTAGAGTAGCCAGAGGGCATTACTGATGTTTGTACTTTAAGGAAGAGGAGAGGTAAAGAAAAGCAGTAGCCTTGAGCTGAAGAGCTCAAGAGTTCAAGCCCCAGGACTGAACAAAAAAAAAAAAAAGATTTAATAGGAATGTTGAGTGTTTGTAGTCTGATTTATTGTATGAATATGACTTTAAAAAACATATAGTCTAGCAAAATTCACTTGATTTTTTTAAGTGAGACAGTTGATAGAAAGAAGGTAAATTTTTGTCTGAAACAAGGTTTTACATGTGAACATTCAGTGGTTTTGTGGTATTTCATTGTGTTGACCATGATTATTTTTTACTATTTTTCCATGGCTATGTTTTACTATTAATGTGTAGAATGCTTGTTGGATATATTTGTTGTTCTTTTTTTTTCCTTTTGTTTTTTTAAAGAAACTTTAACACAAATAAGCAAATTAGCTTAAACTTTTGGTGGATAATTGAGGAAATAGTGTATAAAGTTTATTTCTACTTTTGGTATATGTCAGTTACAGTAGTAATTTAATAAAAATGATATATGAATTGCAGTTAATGCCTAATATTCTTTTCCTAGTAATTGGTAAATCAAAATCCTGTCATAAAGATTAAGGGATAGTTTTAATAATATATAATAGCTCTCAATTTGTCTTACACAATTGAAGATAAAGTTAGCATTGAGATATTTTGATGTATGAAAAAGTTATCAAATATTTATTAATAGGTCAATGACAAATATTCTCTTATAGATAGGTATTGTATTAAAGCACAGCACAAAGTAACTAGTAGAGTATTATTATATAACTGTTAGAGTTAAAGTGCAAAATAACTACTGTAGTTATTTCACTGTTTGAATTTTTTCTTCATAAAGAAGTTCTTGACATCACTTGTGTTGCTTATAATACCATCTATATGCTGTAATGCTGTGGCAATGCTCATTGGTAAATACCCCAAAATAACAACACTTACCTTTTTAAGATTATACCGAAATTAAATGTGAAATTCAAAAATTGCTGAAGATTGTTCCCATATTCTGAATACTAGCTTTGTTAGAATCTAATAATCATCCTGTTGTAATGGTTTTACATAAGTCATGTTCTAATTTGAAAAATATATTCTAAATGTGTTTGAAAGAATCTATAGTTGTAATATGTTTTTCCCCCAAACTCCATTTTAATAAACCAACTAGTTCAAAAGCAGCAAAGAGAATAGATTTGTAATTTCTAGAAACAGCATTATAGATGATCATCCAAAAAAAAAAACTATTCTAACAACAACAAAAAAACAACTAGTCTTACTATTATGTGAGTTACAAGATAATAAACTCTAGGAAAGTGATCAATGTGAGTAATGATGTTAGTAGAAAAGAATTAGCACTACTGCTAGTTGGAATAAGAACTCATTGAACTGGGCTACAGAGACGCTAGATAGCAGTGTGCCCAATAATATTTCACTCCCAAAAAGATGTTGGATCTGTACATTAGCACAAGTCAAAAGAGTGAGAATGTGTGGATGAATCACATTTTTCATAGATACTTTTTCAAACTAGTCAAAACTTTGTCATCTAGCCACCAGATATTGCAGCTTGGAATGGCTTCTGGTAGAAGCCACAGTTGTATTTTTTGCTTTTACTTTATGTTGAGCAGGATTTTTAAAAATATGAACTTTTGACCATATTCTTCCTCAGAAATACAAAATCATAAAATGATACCGGGTAGATGTACTTCCTATATAAGAAATGAGTTTTGGTATTTACTTACCTCTTATTGGTATGTGTTATTAGTACTAATGATTTGCTAATCTCTTAGTTTTGGGGGGCCGTTGGTAGGAAAATCTGTTATAATACTTTGGCAAATTGTAAGCTAATTACTGATTAAACAAAAATACAGATCTCTAGTCTTAATGTATTTACATCAAATTGTTGTCTTGTGTCTTAGCTGTTCAGACTACACTAAAGTTTACATATAGTGAAAAATACCCAGATGAAGCTCCCCTTTATGAAATATTCTCCCAGGAAAATTTAGAAGATGATGATGTCTCAGACATTTTAAAATTATTATCAGTGCAAGTAAGTAAATAAGAATTTTTTGTATTGATGTTATATTGTTGACTTTAAATATTATATGTTAACTTAAACATTAGATAATGTTATTAAATAGTTGTAATAAGTACAGACCAAGCAGAATGGATGGTGTAGTATTACCAAGTGTCTTTGTTTTTGTTTCCCACTGTTCCTTTAAATTTTGAGTAATAGAAGTTGTCCCGATTCCTATTTGAAACTCAGCATTATGACTTACTTCCTTAGTCTTTATGATATAGTAGCCCCAAAGGTACTTTAAATCATAAGCATAGTTCTAATTTGGTTCTTAGACTATCTAGTCCTACATGTAGCTAGAAGTTTCAGCATTAAAAAAAAAAAACTCCTTCCCCTCTCACCTTTCCAGACAAGTTGCCTGTAGTGGGCTGCAATTGTTTTTTTGTTTTTCCTTTTCTTTACCTCTCTTCTTCCTTAAAGCACAAATATCAGTAATGCTCTCTGGCCCCTCTAAGAGGGGAGGGTTGTGTGAAATAACAAGTGGATATGGAGAAGTGTTTTTTGGACTAGTTCTGCAGTGGGATGGGCTTGCCAGGTAGCTAAAGTCACTTGTTATTGGGTAGTGAGCTTTTCATTTCTTCAGAGTGAAGAATAGGAAGGTCCTTCATTCACCATCTTAAAAATCAGGAGTCCTAACTTTTTGTTTGTTTTAAAAATTGTCAGAAGCCAGGTCTTGGGGCTCATGCCTATAATCCTAGCTACTCGTATGGCTAAGATCTGAGAATCAAGGTTTGAAGCCAGCCAGGGAAGGAAAACCTTACCTACTAAAAAGACAGAAGTAGAGCTATGGTTCAAGTTGTAGACTGCTAGCCTTGAGCACAAAAGCTCAGGGACAGCTCCCTGGTCCTGAGTTGAAGCCCTACAGCTAGTCAAAGAAAAAGGGATTGTCAGGAAACATCTCCATCGGGGCTGGGAAGGTGGCTCAGTGGTAGAGCACTTGCCTTGCATGCATGAGGCCCTGGGTTCGATTCCTTAGCACCACATAAGAAAAAAGCCGGAAGTGGCGCTGTGGCTCAAGTGGTAGAGCGCTAGCCTTGAGCTGAAGAGCTGAGGGACAGTGCCCAGGCCCAGAGTTCAGGCCCCACGACAAGACCCAAAAAAAAAAGAAAGAAAACATCTCCATCTTAAATATAACTATTCTAAGGACCAATAGTCCTTTAAGTGTTACTTTAAAAGAAAAATATTTGGAGTTTTTAGGGAATCAAGCAAGCAAGAAAGTGTGAGAAGATTTTGCTGCTTCTAGGCCCTGCTCAGTCTGTTACCTGAGTGAAATTACAATTATTCATTATATATTTCATTTTAATAATGAAATATAGTAAATATAGTAATCTACAATGTGAATGTGTGGTATAACTAACTGAATTAATAGTCGTGTTATAAAAACATGAGATTTAGTGGTTGTGCAAAAATTGTTGGCTAGTTGTAATTTTTCTGAGAAGTGTGTTTCTCATCACCTGTTTTTGTTACATAGGCTGAAGAAAATCTTGGTATGGTGATGATCTTTACTCTAGTTACAGCTGTGCAAGAAAAATTAAATGAAATAGTAGATCAGATAAAGACTAGAAGAGAGGAAGAAAAGAAACAAAAGGAAAAGGAAGCAGAAGAAGCAGAAAAGGTATATTTTAAGAGCCTGTTTCCTCTCACTAGTCATTAAATCTGTTTAGTTGGGAGCCAGTTTTTTTTGTTTTGTTTTGGGGGGGTGTTTTTTTGGAAATTGCAGTGGTTTTTTTTTTATCACAAAATGAGGTGTATTTTAATACAATTTTATTGAGTAAAATACTTTTTGGTAGCATGCATAAGTAACACATAGTAATTGTGTAGTAAACCTTACATAAGACCAAGAAATTATTTTACCTGTTGCATAGTTTGGGAATTATAAATCATTACTAAAAATAAAGAGTGAAGGGAACCTCAAATTCTGAAATGAAGTGTAAAAGTCATGATTTAATGTTACAACTTGATGTATATTCATAATGTTTTAATACTGATATCAACTTTGCCAGTAAATAGCTATGGTAAATACAGAAGTTTATTGCATGTGCTCTCTCTCTCTCTCTCTCTCTATATATATATATATATACACACACACACACATATATATATTATATATTTTATTATATATTATTATTATACATATTACATATTATATTAATTAATTATTTTTTTTGTAGTAAGAATCAGAAGTCTAGTTTCTCAGTTGAACCAAAAACAAAGAGAGTGGCAAATACAGGAAGAAATCAGATTAAATACTCCAAAATTTCCATGTGTTTTGGCTGATACTCTTTGCTGTTTCACATGTAATCAGTATGTGTATTTGTCTGGAATATTTAACTAGGCTTTACTTGTTATACTGATGTTTCATTGATCTGGCAACTTAAATCCCTATTTAATTTTTAAAGAAATTGTTCCATGGCACTCCTGTTACAATTGAGAATTTCTTAAGTTGGAAGGCCAAGTTTGATGCAGAACTCTTGGAAATTAAAAAGAAACGGATGAAAGAGGAAGAACAAGCAGGAAAAAATAAACTAAGTGGTAAGTAGCATGACAGCTCTCTGTCCCATCATCATTCCTGCTATCCCCAAAACCCCTTGGCTCCTTTCCTGTATAGCAAAAAAGGCCATTTAAGTATTGCAATTGATAGATCTTAGGATGCAGGGTCATTTAAGACCCTAAGCCTCAGAAGTGATATAGTCAGACTTGTTGTTTTCTAGGACTCTTAATGCAGACTAGGGTGTACTTGTTCCACTTTGATACACATTTCATAAGCCCCATAGCTACTAAAGCTCACATACATGTTTAAATTCACAAGACAACAGATTTTAAGGAGGTTGTATTTTTGATTACATTTTAAAATGGTTATAGAGAAGATAATGGATCTAAATTGAGGCATTTGAATTAAACATACCTATTTCTTTTAGGAAAGCAGCTGTTTGAAACTGATCATAATCTTGATACATCTGACATCCAGTTCTTAGAGGATGGTAAGATAATAGAATTCCACTCTGAAAATCAAAGTAATAATTTTACTTAATGTAATGTTTTCCTCTCAGAGTTGTTTAAAACACATACATACACATTTTGAAGCCTACAGTTTAATAGTTTATTGATTTACATATTTGAACTGAATGTTTTCATTCTATAGCAATGTAGTTTTTAAGTTTTCTCATGACTTGAGCAATCTTCAGGTAGCAGTAGGTAGACAATTATAGTACAATAGTCTGATAACTAGTAAACTGGTACATCAAATTTGTAGTATCACAAATGTATGAGAATGGTATCTTGTGCTTTTTCAGAATTTGGGTAGCTCTCATATATGGAACTTTATAGTTTTCTCCGTAACCAAAATCTCACCTTTCCTTGTCTTTGAAGATGTTCTTAGAAGATGTTCTACTAATTGTGCTTAAGCTCTACTCCTCGCACTCTCACTTGTTTTTTGTTTTCTACTTGAGTCATGCCTTTTGTTTCAGCTTTTTGCTGGTTATAGTTTTCCATACACCTTACCTCTTGACATCTATCCTCTATCTATACACTAATATTCATCTACACACTAATATTTACTACATTGTCCTGTCCACTTAGAATATAGCAAAGAACAGTATAAATCAGTTCTCTACCCATATACAGTTTATGACCTATATATGTTGGGGGGACTTTTGTTTAGTTTGACTCAGGAGTTTTTATTTAGTTTTATTTTGACTCAGGGCTTCAGACTTATTCTACTGCTTGAACAATACCTCTAGCCCTGCTTTCGTTGGTTATTTTAGAGATGGAATCTAGTGAAACTTTCTGCCTGGTTTGGCTTTCAACAGTGATCCTCTCAGTATCAGCCTTCTTGTTAGCCAGTATTACAGATAAGAACCATTGGCACCCAGTACATACATGTTTTGTTTTGTTTTTAACTGGATTCCATACTTAGCCACAAGTCTAATAGCATCTTAACATTCTGTGTTTTTTTTTAACCTTCTGTTATGTTCATCTTGCTAGTTTGGAATCTTCTAGCTTTTAGCCTTACCACCTTGTTCTAGATTATCTGCTGAAGAAGGTTAGGAATCAGTGTTGATAAATCTTCCTAACCTAAACTAGGCTCTTATTGGCACCACCTCTATTATTTTTTTCTTTAGGTGGTGTAAGGTCTTGAGCCTGCTAGGCTAGTAGTGATCTACCACTGAGTTATTACTCCAGCCTTCAATATTTTTTGTTAAGTGTTTATTTCATTCTCTGTAACAGCTATGCCAAACTTTCTATATTCTCAAAAAATAAAAAATGTAGTTAGGATATCTTACATTTTCTGCAGAGTCCTCATTCCAAAAACATCGTATCATTCTGTCTTTGGCTTTCGAAGTTTTAGTATCTTCACTCATTCTTATCTCCTTTCTCTTTTTAAAGGTTGATCAAGCATCTTTTCATATCTAGTAAATTGCACTGACATATCTTTTTAGCAATTTCTTTTATTTGTTTCAAAGGTTTTATTATTTCACCTGGACTATAGTGTAACCACTTGAACAATTTCTCTGTATCTCTACATCCTTATTTCCTCACCTATAGCTGCTGCTTCTGAGGTGATAAAAGCCATATTTTATCATAAAAACTCTATAAAATCCTTTAAGCAATATTAGTCACAGTTGTAGTTTGATTTTTTTTGTAGTTCACTAATTTCTTCTTCTTTTTTTTTTTTTTTTTTTGGTCGGTCATGAGGCCTGAGCTTGGGGCCTGGGCGCTGTCCCTCAGCTCTTCAGCTCAAGGCTAGTGCTCTAACACTTGAGCCACAGCACCACTTCTGGCTTTTTCTGCTTATGTGGTGCTAAGGAATTGAACCCAGGGCCTCAGGCATGCAAGGCAAGCACTCTACCACTGAGCCATCTTCCCAGCTCTGTAGTTCACTAATACCTTGAAATATAATATTTAATCTGGTCTGATGCTGTTTATTCATCTGATTTTGAGCCTTTAGTTTTTGTAGATGTTCTTTGAAATCCATCATTGATACAGGAATTCACTTTTCACAATTAGGGTTACCCACACTTGACTTCTTCCCAAATAAAAGGATCTACCCCAGCCAGAGCATTCTATAAAAACTGATCTGTTCAGGGCAGAGTTCTGTTCTAGTAATAAAAAGGATTTCAAGTTGCTGCAATTGTATTGTTATATTGGCTTTTCAAACTAGGTGTGTAGTGTGGTATCTAGAACTTTTCTAGATAAATACAACGTGTGATCGTCCAGAAATGTTTCAGTAACCCCTACATTTACAACAAGGGTCTGTTTTCCTCCCCAAACCTCATGCAGTGATACTACCAACTGTTGTTTGTTATTGGCCTAGAAGATCTGTTCCCTTTTTATTGCAAACGAAAACCATCCATCTTCATTTTTATTAGTGGGCATGTAACTATACCATGTAACCTTAAATCGGCAAAAGGGATTTTCTTGTGTAAGTTCCATTGATGTAGTATTGTTGAAACATCCCTTTCCTGTTCCCCAAAAATCCTGCAGGTGGTTCTTTTTTGCCAAAATAACCTCTCATTTTTCACTGGAGTTGGAGCAGAAAGAGCACTCTCAGTATTTATCAATTGGTTGGACTGAATAGGAGCTTATGTAGGCTGAATGGAAAGATCACCTAATGTAGTTTGTTACTGTTGCCGCTACTATGTACTGAATCCTCCAAATCTCAGGCCAGTTCCCAAACCACTACCTAACCCAGTGCTAGTTCCTGTTTGTGTGCCCAAACTAGTACCAAATCTAAAACTTTTGATTTGAGTCACCCCTGAAGAATCTAGTAGTGCCAATGTATGTTAGGCAGAAGAAGCTAAATGCAGAGCCTGCAGTTGTACATGTCATCAGATGTCCAGCTGGCGGCAGCAGTGCCCCAGATACTTGAGGGAGCCCCAGAATTAAAGGCCATGTTTTGAGAGCAGTGGGAACAGGGGACTGCAGTCCTGTTCCCATGATGTGTCCCTCCAGCTTATTGCACTTCAATGACTGAACAGTTCTAGGCAATATTTTCAATGTTATCACTTGTCAATAGGTTAGAGTCTGAGAGAGACAGAAGATAACAATTTGTGAGTGCTTGAAGAGTACTATAGCATCCTACTTTCATCTGCTTCAGTCCAAACTGCTGAAGTATGATGTTTTTAATGCAGAGCCTGCTTACTGCTTCTGACAGGAGTTAGACATTTGGAGTATTTGAAATCTGTTGGATATAAAGAGAACTGGGTGAGAGTAAAGGTTCAATTAAATCTGTCCTCTAAGTTGAGGTGTAGTGATGTGTGGGCATCACTAAACCCCTGACACATGTCTCAGTGATAACCACCTTTTTATAAGTAATGATAACAAAGTCATATTGGAATATGCCACATTATAAATCATGGCATTCTAATAAGTTTTTAAATAGAATGTCCAGATTTTCAAACTATGAACTGAAAGAACTGCTCTTAAAATGTCAGAGTCTCTGCTGATCAATATATTTGTGGTTTGAACTGTTGGGTTTAGGATGTATCACTCATCCTTTACGAAAGAAGTTTCTCTTTGCTAGTGCCAGTGAGTTTATATCTTTATGAAATACATCTTCATGAGATATGAGTTACGTGTTTCAGAGCTTATGACTGAAGGTAATGTTTTCTCACTCTTTGCAGCTGGAAACAATGTGGAGGTAGATGAGTCATTGTTCCAGGAAATGGATGACTTGGAGCTGGAAGAAGAGGAGGAGGAGGATGACGATCCCGACTACAATCCTGCTGACCCAGGGAGTGACTCAGACTAACGGACTGCCCCCGTCGCTAGAGAGGCTTCACAGCCACAGCATCTGTGGCTCTGCTGAGAGGGCTTTGATTTTCCTTTCTTTTTTTTTCTAAGAAAAAAATCATTTTCAGGAGAATATTCTTCTGATAGCTTACATCATTGAACTTAATAAACTGACCTTAAAATTTCAAATATAAAATGTCTACTTCTTATTGGTGATCAAAAAGTCACCTATCTAAAAATCATTTAGTGTTGAGAAGAGCTGGCCTGTAAACACCAAGACTTGAAGGTAAGGTTTGTAGATGAGGAATTGGAATAAGTTAGAATTTCTATGCTGAAACCAATGATTACTTCGGGGTGCAAAGTGTTGTCATTCATACCATGTTACATATTGTCTGCAACACAAACACACATCTCCATCTGTGAATATGTATATTAACATGGGTGTTTGACTTGGGCACCAGGTGGGAGAGCCAGGCTTCATGCAGGTTACCTAGTGAGTGTATTTTTGGAGGACTGAATCTTGGCCCCAGTTGAAAATCACTTGTGCAGTGCACATAGCTGACTTCATTTAAAAAAAAGAAAGAAAGAAAACACGTGTTGCATACCCATAAACAGAACAATATCAATTCCATGTTTATTTGGGAATCAGACCTTGGGATTAAAAGCATTTTCATGAAAAGATAAATCTATTGTGAGACTTAGTGCTTTTTGAGGGAATCTTGTGGTTAACCTTGATCCCAGATCAAGAATGGAGGCTTTGCTTTTCCTAGAAAGACAGTTTAATCTGATGAGTAGATCCATAAAAGCTGTTACAGTTAAAAAAGAATGATGAACAATGTGGGACTGAAGTGAGTGAAGACTGTCCTCCCTTCCGGTAAGTTTAAGACTAGTTTTATACATTCCTCATTGGATATCTTTGTCATTTGGGACTGAAGGCAAGAACCTAGTGATAAAATGGGGACAACCTGGTTTGTTTTTATAATAGAGTATGTATTGTATTCTAACCCAAGATTTTGCTTTTCAAACTAGAGCACACATATTTCCAGGATATGTAGTAGTCAAACTAGTAGTATCTGTAGTAATAAGTAATCAATAAGTAGTAGTCAATAATAAGTAGTCCTGATTATCAATTTTGCTTTTGGATTTGGGAAATTTTTTTCTACTTGTGCCAAGTTGTGCAAAAATATTACTGGGATAAAAACATAAATTCTGAGTTAATGCTTGACACAGAGTGGACACCTAATATTGTTGGATGAGTGAATTATGAAATAGAATGCCAAATTTTCTTGTACTTTAGAGATACATGAGAGTTTAAACAAATTTTTCTGTTTTTCATTTGCATCTTTGCATAATACTAAGCATCTGTTACTTTGGCCAGCAGAGATCCTTAAGGGAAATGATGTGTAAATACTGGTCAAAGGCCATACCTAAATAGTACATGAACTTTACCTACCTGAGGTAGAACCAAGAGAGCAGTCACAGTCTCAAGGAAAGCAATGAGTTCATCTGTCATAGTCTTGAAACATGTTTGACAAGAAGCAAAATATTTATTCTTGAATCCCAGAAAAAGTGTAGATTGTGCAAACATGTTAAGAGGTAGAACTGGAACATAAATGTACTACCTGATTCAAATCATTTGCAGCATTTTTGTCTTTCAGGTTTCTTTGTTTCAGAATGTTTCAAAAAGTCATTTTGATTGTTGGACAAGACAGTCACATACTCAACAATCACTGTCCAAGTGAAAGGAATATTATTCCCAGCACAAATGGCACTGTCCAAAGTGCTGAAGATTAGCTAGCATTTGCTTTCTCTTAATGCTGTGATACAGTTAACATATTTCTGAAATGCTGAGCAGTTGGTGGAAAAGGAGAGTAAGATGGGCTGATAACTTGGGAAAGAGCAACTAGGAAAAAGGCAAGAGGGTATTTTCAGATTGGGGAAGAAAGTACCAGAGCTTTTTTATTTCCTTACACAACATGATGAATTTTTTTTAATGTTTTGACAATACTGGGATTTGAACTCACAGTCTCACACTAGGCAGGCGCTGTACCACCTTTTTTACTTTAATTATTTTCCAGGTAAAAGTTTCATGTTTTTTACCCAGGCAGTTCTGAACAGTGATCCTGCTTATATCTCCGTAACTTGATGACAGGCATATACCAGCATGTCACCCCATGCCCAGCTTTTTTGTCAAGTCTGGGTCTTGGCAAGCAATGTAAGTTCAAGTTACTCATTTTGTTCACTAACAGGGCTTTGTAATTAATAATTAAAGGATAGACTCATAGACATTAAAGTTTTGTCCCCTGAGCAGTAGATTTTTGTATCTGCTTTGTCTTTCACACTGTGGCTAGAATTCTACTTAGTTTATCCCCAATGAACGAACTTTGAGGAAAAGTCCTTCATGTTACTCTGGAATATCTGCTTATATCTTTCATTCTGCCCCCACCCCCACCCCCAGTTATGATGTTTCCAGTTGCCAGCAGTACTTAATAGGATAAACACAGGGAAAGCACACAGGAGATTAATTAAAACTGTCCATTTTTTTTAGATGATTACAGATTTATAAGTAGTTGTAGGAAGTTTAGCTCCCATCCATCTTTTCTCACACTGGAACATGGTATTAAACTATAGAACAGTATCACATCCAGGACACTGATAATATGCCCATAATTCTCGATTAAGATACAGTATTTATTCACCTATCCATAAATAGCCAATGCATAATATGGATGTGTGCATGTATATACATATATGTGCACACATTTCCTACTTTTAGGAATGACACTATTAGCATGCATTAACTGTAAAGGGGCTTCATTGGGATCTTGCCACATGTGTAGGCCATACATGCATGTAAAGACCTTAGTTTGTATCCACTCCATCCTCCTCTTGCATTTTACCCATTCCATTCAAATATCTTCAACCCAATCTCAGTATCTGCAGTGCTTGTTTCTTCACTGCTTTTTATAGAAGAATGAGCTGGGAAAGAAACTTGGGAGTGTAATAACTACAGTAAATATAGTTCCATTTTCTATATTAGAATTTCCCCCAATCATAACCATTCTTTATGAAGAATAAATGAGGTAAATATACTAAGATTAAAAAATGAATTTTACTATTAAGTAAGCAAATTGTCTTGCTTTTGAGTATGGTATGCCACATTCTAACATTGTGGACTAACAGTGTTTTAATTAGATATTGAAGAAAAGTTTGAAGATGAAAATATGTGAATTTCAGAATATTGGATGAAAACTAGGGAGTAATTATGAACTACCTTTTCACAAAACTCTACAGTAACTAAATCTGTTGAGAAGATGTTACTTTTTTTTCTCAGTTCAGTCCTTACTGTTATCCTAATGTTACTTTTCTTTTGAGTATAATAAAAATGTCTCTGGTCCTTTTATGTGTAGGAGAATAACTTTTGCATTAAAAAACAATAAAAGAAAATAATTAGCTTGTCATGAAGGCTCAAGCCTTTTAATCCTAGCATTTGGGAGCTTGAAACAGGAGGATTAATAGTGTAGCAAGATCTTGAACCAAAAATAATTTTAAAAGAAATATATTTCTGTTGGTCAAAGGGAAGATATTACATTATTTGAAGAAAAATTGCCCAATTTGACAATATTAAAATTAAGAATACTTAGTGAAAATAGCATACACCAGAATTATAAAAAATATGTATATATATATGAGAGAATCAGCATGTGTATTAGTAAGTCAGTATCCAGAAGCTTTTTAATACAAATTACTAAGAAAAACACAACTGCTGAAAATCTGGACACACACTCTAAGATTCTTTTTGCTCACTACCACTTGAGCCATAGCTCCACTTACAATTCTTAGTCACTGGTGCCTGGCACTCCTTTTTTAGTATCCATGATTCATATGTTTGGCCTTTTAGTGTAGCCCCAGAATTTTGCATTTGTATTTATCTGTTTTCTTTTTCTTTATCTTAATCTAATTTTTTCTATTATATCTACCTTGTCTTCAAGCCCTGATATTGTGGCTTTCATTTGATTAAGACTGCTAGAGAGGCTTCTGACTCAACAAACATGACGGCTAAACTTACTTGTAGCCATTGACCTAGGCAGATTTCTTGGAGATCTGGTGGTCTCAGACAAATACACCCAGTTTCCTCGATCCCATATTATCTGCCCCTAGTTATGCACTCACTGTGAATGTATTTTGCCTTTTGTGATTATTACAATAACAGGGATTTAAGTAAAGCTTATTAAACACTGAAAATAACAGTTAAGGAAAAACAGTTTTTGCATAATTTATTGTGTCAAAATCAAACAATATTAAAACATATTAGAAGTGATGTTTAGGTGATATATATATATATATATATATATATATATATATATATATATATATGGTTCACCTTGTCATATCAAGACTTTGAGGAAAATAAAAATAAATGTTATAGTATGTTTGTTACTAAGAACAATATTATAGAAATCCTTGCCTTACTATGGTTCTACTTTAAGATATTTTTTGACCTTACAATACTGCAATTCAGTAAACACATCCTTGCCCCTTGCTGCTAATTCTTGGTGAGGAATAGATTGTATATGGCTCTGTATTTTTTAAAACTACTGTTACAATCAACTTTGGTACTATTAATGCAGAAATTAAAAACAAGGAAAAGGGCCCAAATCTGTATGAATGCTCTTGTCCCTGAAGAATGACAGGTCAGTAAGGCCCAAATTCTTCCCTGGTCTTTTAAGTAAGAGGCTGTTTTCAGCAAAAGTAAGGAAGGCCCTTTCTTTAAGCCTATTGGTCTGAAGCTGTTCCGGGAAGAAAAAACGGTTCAGGCCAAATGTTCAGCAGCAACCAGAGTGGAAGCCTACTTCATGAGAGTTGCATGAAGTGCTGGGTCCCACTGATGTTGCAGTTGACTGTTGGGGTCCAGTCTTGATGTCATTTTCCTCATTGTGGACATCCTGCTCGATCTTCCTATATATTTCTTAGGCTGTCTTAATGAAGGCCTCTTCAACATTGCAGGCTGGTTTAGCCTGTGATTACACTCTATGAATATAAGTCCATGCACCTGAGCAAAGGCCTCTCCTCCCTCTCAGCACATCCTCACTCTTAGATGAGCAAGATAACCATGTTGGAGCTGGAGTGCTGGTGGGCAGCCTCTAACCATGAAGTCAGGGTTAAAGGTTTCACATCTGGTAATGTGTGCTGGCAGTGCTCCAGCTGCTTCCCGATAGTAGGATTCTTGCCCAACCATATCCCAGATTTGATTTGTTTTTCATCACTTGACCATGCATGCTCAAAACTCAACATCTGTTGTAAGGTCATGAACAGGCTGGAACCCTTGTCAGTAAATGGCAGGAGGAGACATGACTTGCCACACTTTAAAGACCAGTCGGTGCACTCCAGACAGCTTGTGGCTAGGAGATTTGAGGTTTCTTTCTAATGAGGAAATACACTGAAATCCAGGAGCTGCAGATAATCATGATGTATTAAATAAGACAAATTCAAAATGAAAAATACTGCTTTCTCTTGATTGTTTTGGGGACACACACATCTACATATAGTGTGTATAGTGTATATAATTTATATATGGTGACAGACATGTATATGTGTAATATGACTTTAACTATGGGACTGTGAGAATGAGGGGAATGGGAAGAATGAGAATGATGAAGGATGACTAAAATAAAAATACATTGCAACTGTGTATGAAGATAGCATGAAGAATCTCACCAGCAGGTGTTAAACAATGGGCAAGTGAATGTGATGAGAGAGAGCAGTAGAGAGGGTTATTTGGGTTAAAACAATATATGCATATACAAAATATGTTGAAACTCCTTGGCAAAATTAATATACACTAAGAAAAGAATAGCAGAAGGTAAAACAGGCTCTAATAGGGATAGGTTTCAGTGAGGGGGAGAATAGATGGAGACAGTGAATATAGTTGAATATAGCGAAATAACATGAAATGCTAAGTATTTGTTAAGTAACTCTTCATTAGTAATGTAGTCATAACTTTTAGAAATACATAAGTTAGGTGAAACAAAGTAAGTGAGCTTCTAGAGTTACTTAAATTTGTCATGGAAACTGATTTAATCATTTTTCTGTGAGAAAATCTTTCTAAAAGTTACAAAATATGTGTTAATAAATTGTTGCTGGGGAAGGGAAACAAGGATACAGGTTGACCCATTATAACAATGAAACATACAAGACACTATATTGAAAACAAACTTTACAACTTGGTGGGGGGAGGAAGGAGTTGGGGAGATGGGGAGGGAAGGGATGGTAGGGAAAAACAAAGGAGCGGTAACAATGCTGGATAAGAAATATACTCATTACCTTACTCATGTAACTGTAATCCCTTTGTACAATAACTTTACAATAAAAAATTAAAAATAAATTGTTGCTATATGACAAACAAAGACTTATTTCTTTTCAACTCTTCAATAAAATTCTCCTCTATAGGATAACTAGTAGAGGCTTTCCTAAAGCACTTCATAAGCTACGTCGGGACATCTTTTTCTTTTTTTGTAGAGGTGATGTACAGAGGGGTTACAGTTACATAAGTCAGGTACTGAGTACATTTCTTTTTTAACAGCAGCACCTCCTCCCTCGTTTTCTCCCAGTTTTTCCCTCCCAACCCACTAGCCCCTGAACCCCCCACATTGTATAGTTCATTTACAACATAGTGGCTAGTGAATATCACTGCTCAATTCATTCACCCTTTGTCCCACCATTTCTGTGTTTCCCCTTCCACTCCCCAAATCAGAAAAACTTAACATACATGACAAAGAGTGACAAAAGGGGGGGGGGGGGACAGAAGAAAAAAACCACAAAAAGTAAAATAAAAAAACGTCTTCCCACTTCTTGGAGTTCATTTCGAGAATCATCATATAATCATATGCACATAGCCATTTAGCCCTTGTGTGAATGTCTAGAGTCCTGTTTATCATGTCCCAAGTGTAATGTTTTTGACCTTTACTATCCATTGACTTTACTTATAGATTTGTAGGCACATTCTAACTATTACAAATGAGGGAAGCCATGCAACCTATGTTTCTTTGGGCCTGGCTTACTTTGCTTAATATAAGTCTTACTGTTACCTTATGAATGGGACAATGTCATTCTTTCTGATGGAAGCATAGAATTCCACTGTGTGTATATACCACACTTCCTTGATCCATTTGTCCATGGAGGTACATCTGGGTTGATGCCATATCTTAGCTGTGGTAAACAATGCTACAATGAACATGGTTGTGCTGATCGCTTTAGTGTGGACTGCAATGAACATGGTTGTGCTGATCGCTTTAGTGTGGCCTGGTTTGTGGTTAATTGAATAAATTTTGATAGGCATTTCAAGGGAGAAATCCTTGTGTTGGTTACATGGGCCACACAGAAAGTTTATCAAACTATAGATAACAAAGAAAATGTTTACACCATTGCTAAAACTAGATGTTGTGTGTGGATAAACCCCTGTGGGAAAGACACAACCACAAAATTTTTTTTAAAAAGCAAATGCTCAATAATTACAATAGGTCTGACCTAGTTTTGCTTGTTCACTTGATTTGTTCACTTCATTACTTTTATAGCTTTTTTTTCCCAGAGCTGAGGACCAAACTCAGGGCCTTGTGCTTGCCAGGCAGGCACTCTTCCACTGAGCTAAACCCCCAGCCCCTACTTCATTACTTTTAAATCTATATTCTTGGTTCAAAACTATTATGTAAACTAGATTTAATCTAGGATTTGTTTTTCACTTTCTTTTTTGAACTTTGTACCTGTTTATTTTAAAGTTTGGCACGCCAATTTGTAACATAATAGTGTTGGCTCAGTACAGGTAGAATTGGTCTTAACTTTGGACTTGTGATAATCCCTATCAAAAGTTCAAGGTCTCTGAGTTACTGAGTTACTATTCACTGGCAGAAAGTTCCTTCTATGGTCTAGCTTGAGTCCCTCCTGCTGCAGGAAATTTACTCTTTTCCCTGATCCTCATTCCCTTGGAAAAGAAGACTATCCATGGTAACAAAAATTGATTGACACTAAAACAGGCAGAAATATCCGAGAGATGAGGGATGTAATGGTAAGCGGCTGTTACTTCAGCTCCAGAAGTACAGACAATGGCTGAGTACTGTAACATAAGCCTATCATCCCCAGCATTATAGGGAACCACAAGAAGGATCACAGCCCAGTCAGGCCTCGGCATAAAAGGAGACCCTACTTCAAAAATAACCAATGTAGGAACAAGTTAGAGAAAGTCTTTCATGTTCTCAAGTGGTAAAGTGCCTGCCCTGTAAAATGTGAGGCCCTGAGTTCATTCCTCTTACAACCAAACAAGCAAATAAAAATTCTGTAAATTTATGTGGCACAGATTTAGTGAGTACAAAAAGAAATGCATGTTTATCCACTAGTTAAAAATAAAAGATAAATTTTTATCTACTAGTTAATAATTAAACCAAGAGTTGATGAATTATTCTTTGATGATTTGATCTTCACTGTGAAGTATTATATTATCACAAAGAAGCATAGGTTCATAAATTACTTCTCAGTGTATTCCACTTACTACCACATTGTAATTATCATATTATTTTAATTCAAAAAATTAAAGTTTAATGATCAAACTTAAAAGATTTTTAATGTTTAGTTGATCCTGAATTCAATTACAGAGGCAGAAAAGCTGTACACTAAAGAATGCTCTCTGAAGACATCTACGAGTCATGTTCTATGCAATATGTTGGATCATTTTTGTTCAGGGTTCCAATGCTGCTTATCTCCCAAATCAATTCAATTTTTGAAATTTCAAGGCATTCAATAATTTCATGTCAAGTAAAGTTCTAAGCATAGATTACTGATTTTGTTCATTAAGATAGCTTTGTAATAATGATTTAAAATGATTTTTTCCTGGCTGCTTTTTTTTTCTTCCACGCTGTGACTACAATTCTACTCCTCATTTAAATCCCAGATGAACTTCAAGGGAAAGTCTTTCATGTTCTTCTGGAATATTCTGTCAAACCTTTCATTCTGCGCCACAGTGAAGTGATGTTTCCAGTCGCCCACAATGCCTAATGGGATCAGCACAAGGAGAACACACAGGAGAGTGAGCAAAACTGTCAGGCAACGTCTGCACCCATCCATTGCAGCCCCTTCTTTAACTCAAGCTAATGGAATTTATTCTTTTACTTAAAATAGAGGGATAAGTAAAAAAGAAACTTGGGAATTCTGGAATATTATAAATATAATTAAAGTTCATATTCCCATATATTAGCATTTCTTCAGTTGCTCCCTTCCTAATTACCACCATTTTTGGAAGAAAAAAATCCATTTTTTATATATATATATATATACATATATATATAAACACATATATATTATTTACTGTATGTCAAGCATCAGGCTAAGCAAACTACCTCTATCAATAGAATTCTTAATACATTTTATTGGATATATATTCTTCTTTTCTACATTGCAAAAGCAAGACAGAGATACTCAACTAATGATGTACAAGGTCACTTGTTACTTGACAGGAGCTTGAAACAATCATCACACCATTTACAGTAAAATAAAAACTAGAGCATGTTTAGCTGTCAGATAAATTGCATCAACACTACTGTTGGCTTTTGGAACATATAGCAAACCATTACGATGGGTATGAGAATTGCCTTTTGGTTTAGTCAAGAAATGTAAATGTTAAATGGCAGTTGACATTAAATGGCAATGGAGGAAAAAATTATGAAATTTCAAAATCAAGGCCAATTGCCATACAATACCCAAATAGTTATTTGTAAACTTATTATCACACTAGTGATAATGAGTTAAAGAATAAAATGTGAGTGAAATAGAAGTATTTGTTGATTAGAATATATTCATTTAATTTAACTTAAATGAGGGCTAGTTTATGGCTCAAGTAGTAGAGCAAACAAAGGTCTTGAGTAAAAAACCCCAATGGCAACATTTCCCCCCAAATTTCAGGAATATCCGTTAAGGAAACATTAATTTTTTAACAACTCCTGACATGTAATAAGATCACAATAAGAAGTAATTTCATTTAAAAATGAATGGATTTATGGCAAATAGGTTGAATCAGAAATCACTAGTGGCTCATGCCTGTAATCCTAGCTAGCTACTTGGGGAGCTGAGATTCAGAGGATCTCAGTTTGAAGCTAGGCTGGAAAGGGAAATGTGAGAGAGTTTATCTCTAGTTAGCCAGAAAAAGTCCATAGAGGATTTTGTGTGTGTGTGTGTGTGAGAGAGAGAGAGAGAGAGAGGGAGAGGGAAGTTGTATAGGAAAAGGGAAGTTGGGAGAGAGGAAAAGCAAAAAGGAGAGAGCTTAACTCCTAGAAACATCTAGTATAAATAAAGGAAAACAAGAATTCAAATCTTTTTGGTCTAATATATCCACTGCCTTCAGATATGACCACTTTAAACTATTAAAGAGTTAAGTCATGTCATCTATAGGAATGATTTTACTTATGAAACAGGTGAAATTGTCAGTTATATACTAAAACACTGGTAGGATAAACATATTAGAAATATGATAATTTCTTCTAGAGTCCAAGGACTGAAGTGAACACAATCCGAGCATCACCTTTGCGCAAAAAATGTCCATCATTGTTTCTTGTCCCAATTTCCTTTTGTGAAATGGTAAGATAATTTGCTCGCTCATCAGACTTCATTTTCTGAAATGTAGCCTGTCTCACCACAGCATCTATATCTTCTTCACTCAGTTTTTTTTCGAAAAATTTGCTAATTTTCATCACTGAACTTCTGAGGTCCTGAAATGAATTGAAGGCATGAGAAGTTATTCCACAGATGAGCATGAGTTACAGTGAAACATAGTGTGGTCAGGGAAGGCTTACTTATAGAGTGCAAGGTGGCACTGCATATGAAAATAAATCAGTACAGTTTATCACAAAATGGAGGGGAAACTGGCTTTATTATCTTCATTTATATAAAAACATGATTGTAATAAAATTCAACATCTTTGTACAGAAAGAAAGCCAATTAACAAACTAGTAATCAAAAGAAACAAACAATAAAAAGGCTTTTTTTTTTTTTTTTTTTTGCCACTTCTGGGGCTCGGCACTGGACACTGTCCCTAAGCTTCTTTTGCTCAAGGCTAGCACTCTACCACTTGAGCAACAGCACAACTTCTGGCCTTTTCTGAGTGTGTGGGACTGAGGAATGGAACCCAGGGCTTCATGCATGCTAGGCAAGCACTCTACCACTAAGCCACATTCCCAGTTCAAAAGGCCATTCCTGAAGAATTATTAGGGAATACTTTCGAATTTTATATTCCAATAAATTATAAAATCTAGAGAAAATGGATGAATTTCCAGATGCATTTTAGCCTATCAAAACTGAATCAAGAGAATATGAACTACATAAAAAGATCTATAATAGAAAATGAAATTGAAGCAGTAATGAAAAGTCTTAGGCCCTGGGACCTGATAGATTGTCTTCCAAATTCCACTAGAACTTTAAAGATTGAGCATCAATATTCTTCAAACTATTCTATGCAATAGAAGCAGAAGGAAAGTTAAATATTCTACTAAGCTAGTTTTACCTTAATACTAAAGTGGTTAAGGGCAAGAAAAAGGGTTAAAAAAGTAAAAAAGAAAATTAAAGAACAATTTTTTTATTAACATAGAAACTTTCTCAATAAAATACTTTCAAAGGGACATGTGAGACCAAGAAGAGAGGGCGTAGAAGAAGGAAAAGGGAAAGGGGGGAGAATACAGGCAAGAATTTATTGTATATACCACAGAATTGAGAAAAATAAAGGGAAGGGTGGGATGAAGGGGGAAAGATGTGGAAAGGATGTCACAGATCAAAATTCATTATATACACAAACTGCTTTGTTAAAAGGCAAAAATAATCAATACATAACCTAAAAATTAAGAAAAGTGAGAGGAGTGTGTTAGGAAGGGAGCTGGGAATGTTAAAATGAGTGACATTGACCAAGATGCACTGCATTCATAAACTGCTTTGTTGAATGGCATCTCCTTTGTACAACTACTTAAAGATAATAAAAACATTCCAGAAAATCATACCTAATCACCTTTAAAGAATGCAAGGATGATTTCAATACATGCAAATTAATAAATGTAATGCAGCAAACAGAACCAAGTATGAAAATCACACCATCATCTCAATAAAAGCAGAAAAATCATTTATCAAAAGTCTTCCTTTTATGATAAGAAAACTCTGAAGATACTAGGAATAGAAGGAACATATTTCAACATAAGAGGTATATATAACAATGAATAGCTAGCATCATATTCAGTGGGGAAGGACTGAAACATTTCTTTTAAAGCCATAAATGAGATGATTCCATTCTCCTCACGCTTCCTTAATAAAGCACTAGAATTCCTAGCCAGAGTAATAAGACAAGAGAACAAAGAAAGATTCAAATAGGAAAGAACAAAATGACCCTAGGTACAGATGATATCATCCCATAATTAAAAGCTCTTAAACACTTGACCAAAAAATTTCTAAATCTGATCAAGTAGTAGGACATAAAATTGAGACGCAAAAATGAATAGCTGTTTTATGTACTAACCATGAATCAGCTGGAAAAGAAATGAGAAAGAAACAATTTTATTCACAGTATATATATATATATATATATATATATATATATGTAACTGTGAATAAAGCTAACTAAAGAGATGAAAAACCTCTACATGGACATGTCAACATTTAATCACCTTGTGCAACTAATTGATGCTGCTAATAATATGTTTAAAAATAAATAAGTATATTTTCCCTTTCTAGATTTTAAAAAATGTGAGAAAAAGAAAAAAATCTAAAGGGCTGGGAAGTTGGCTCAGTGGTAGAGTGCTTGCCTTGCATGCATGAGGCCCTGGGTTCAATTCCTCAGCACCACATAAGCAGAAAAAGCCGGAAGCGGTGCTGTGGCTCAAGTGGTAGAACGCTAGCCTTGAGCTGAAGAGCTGAGTTCAGGCCCCACAACTGGACCCAAAAGAAAAAAAAATTAAAAAAATAGACATAACCCCACCTTTTGCAACTCATAACCCCCATTTTTGCAACTATTAAAGATAAAAATAAACAAGAACAGACTAAAATAGTTTGCTTTGGCTCTTTAGGGTATTTTGTGTTTCTACATAAACTTTAGGATTCAGTTTTCTATATCTGTAATAAATAAATTTAGGATTTTGAAGGGGATTGCCTTAGATCTGTAGATTATTGTTTGTAGTATGGCAATTTTCACAATAATAATTCTTCCAACCAATGAATATTAGAAATGTCTTGTGTTTTCATGTTCAACCCAGAAGCATCTGGTATCCACTTAAATTTATTTCTTTAAGGCTTTATGACTTTTTGTGTAGAGGTTAAAAATTTCTGCACATCAAAAGAAACAATGAACACAGTCAAGAGCAACTCACAGAATCAGAGAAAAATTTTGCCAACTTTTCTTCAGATGAAAGATTAATATCAGAGCATATAATGTTCTCAAAAAATTAAAAATCAAAAGAATAAATAAGGGGCTGGGAAGGTGGCTCAGTGGTAGAGTGCTTGCCTTGCACACATGAGGCCCTGGGTTCAATTCCTCAGTACCACATAAGCAGAAAAAGCCAGAAGTGGTCCTGTGGCTCAAGTGGTAGAGTGCTAACTTGAGCTGAAGAGCTGAGGAACAGTGCCCAGGCCCAGAGTTCAGGCTCCATGATCAGCAAAAAAAAAAAAAAAGAATAAATTATTAGATTAAATGAACAAATGAAGTAGAGATCTCTGAAATACAAATGGCTAAGAAACAAAGCAACATTCAACAAACTAAGTCATAAAAGGAAATGAAAAACAAAATGAAACTGAGACTTCATTTACTCATTTACTTCATCAAGAAATGCTGATGAGGATGTGAAAGAAAAGGAATTTTATACACTGCCAATGAGGATAAAAACTAGTGCAATCATTATGGGAATCAGAAGGGAGGATCATTAAAAAGCTACAGTGGTGTGACCCTATCATTCTCTTAGGCCTCTATCTAAGAAAGTATAAACCAACATTCACTAATATTTATTGTAGCATTATTCACAATAGCCAATCTAGTCAATCTAGTTGCCCTACAATTTACAAATTAATCAAGAAAATGTGGTGTGTGTCCACAATGGGAAATAAACATAGCCATAAAGAATGAAACTATGTCATTTTCAGGAAAATGAATGGAACTAGAAATTATTATATTGAGTGAAATATGTCAGCCTCCAAACAAAATGTCACATGTTCTTGCTCAAATAGAAAATTTATATCTAAAATGAAAACCAAGAACAACTGGACTTGGGGGCAAAAGAGAGACTATTGGGATGTTCAAAGGGAGCAGGAGGAGAAATAAGAAGGAACCATGTGTCAAAGAAAGCAAAGTATGTTTTATATGTGTGTGTGTATGTATACAGATATATGTATATATACAGCTACACATCTATTTATGTATATGTACATAAACATAAGTGATATACATGTATATGTGTACATATATGTATACATGCATGCTTATGTGTGTATTTTTATGTGCATATGCATGCGTGTATAAATTACATGTGTGTATGTATATGTATAGAGATTGCATTGGGAAACCTACCAAATATTACTTCTAAAAGGGAAGAAATACAGATGAGGGTTAAGGCAAACTTTCTCAAAATACACTATATACAGTCACCTATGAAATTTCATACAAACCACCTGTAATCTACAAAGCCTAAATTTAAGCAAATTGTTTAGATATGTATATTGCTGATAATACACGGCTATTCAGGGGACACAAATTAGGAGAAATGAAGTTTAAGATATGACCAGGGGAATGGTAGTGAGATTCCATCTCAACAAGCTAGGCATGGTAGTGTGTGCTGATACATCCACCCATACTGGAAGTATAGATAAGAGCCTCATGGTCTGAAGGCAACCCTGGAAAAATGTGAGATCTTATCTGAAAGTAACTAAAGCATAAAAATGTCTGGGGATAGAAAGAAGACTAAAGAGGAAAGAGAAAAAAAGGAAATAATTCAAAATGTATTACCCTTTCAACCTACCTTCTTCATTTCTTCATAGCTCAGGAACAGAATATTGAAGTCATGTCTGTGTTCATACCAGCCTCTAATATGATCAAACCACCGGCTTCCTACCACTGAAGGGAAAGTTTTAATGAGTAGCAAGGTCAAGGCATTGCACTTATTGAGAAACAAATTGTACAATTTCTTTCTTGGTTTTCAATTGCCAGAAATGAAAAACAAAGATTCCACCACTAGATATACATATGTCTGTCTTAAAATATTGTCTTATGAAGGCATCACATGATTTTCATATAAATCTGCCTCTCCAAACTTTATGCACGCAGGAGAGCAACAATACAGAATCAAGAAACCCATGGGTTTAAGTTAGAAGGCATCTTTAAGACCAGTCTCTTCATTTTCCTATATCCTTCTCCTGAAGAGAATACCTTTGTCCCTATTTCCCTTCTTATTTGAAATATATCAATATAGTAACATTATCTCTCAACAGAGACAGAACATGAATCTAATCTTCTAAAGGAGTGAGCTCCTGACCCCAAATTCTGCAAGGTTCTTGTACCAATCCATGCTTCTCAGCTGCCCTGTAAGGCCTACTACAGCTCCACAACAGAGAAGGCTTTCAGCCAAACATTAGCTATGCTGGAATGAATGAGTCTATCTTTCTCTCAAACTCATATAAATTGATATAATATTGGTAAATATCCTTAGTCTGACCAAAATAGTTCTTAATCAATATGCCTTTGTAACAGGACAATTCCCAAATGATACGGCAAGAACAGAAAAACTGTTGGGCAGCATGGAAAGTTAATGTGCATTTTTGATGACTTATATACATTGAATTGTTCTCCATCATTGTGAAATGTGTTCCCGAAGGTGGAAAACTTGAATAAGTTGTAGTCTTACTTTGTTACAGCATTCCTTTGTTAACTTGTTGCTAGGTAAACAGGTTCATGGTTACCTTTTCCATCTAGAAACGTTTTCATATAGTTTTCTATGGTATCTGGGGCTTCTAATTTAACCATCCAATTTGAAAAATGAAAAAATGAGACCATAACATCTTTAGGATTTCTGTAGATATAAAGCATCTGAAAGATGAATTATGAAAAAATTCTTGGTTACTTTTACAGGACTTTTTAACTAAATAATATTTTAATACAGAAATCAATCATTATTTCCATCCACGCATGGAAATGTAGGTGGTTATAAACTTTTTCTTACTGTTACACTGTTATAATGAATGCTTTTATTTCCATGACATATGGCAAGAATATAGGACAGATTTGTAAAAGCAAAATACATTACTTTTAGTGTTGATAAACATTGAAAAGTAGTTTGAACCATTGCAGCCATGAATATTCTGTGATATATGATACATTCTGTAGCCAAGGTACTAATGGGGATAGTGAAACAGGATCTCATTAGGTAGATACAAATAGTTCTCTATATATAATAAAAAGGAACAGTAACACATTAAAAATAATAATTTGCAGCAAGTGCCAATGGCTCATGCCTGCAATCCTAGCTACTCAGGAAAATGAGATTTGAGGTACATGGTTCTAAGTCAGCCTGGGCTGAAAAGTCAGTGGGACTTTTATCAACTAAGTTGAAATATACCATAAAGTTATATAATATCTAAAGTTATGCAATATCTAATCAGGTATTAGATATTATACAAATATATCTTTCAGAATGTAAAACAGGAAGATTGTCCGGGCAAAGTTAGGGAGACCACATCTCAGAAACAAGTAACAAATGGAAAAATGACCATATTGACAAATATTTGAAAGTTTGACAGGCAAACCTACTAGTTAAAAAAATAACTCATCTACTACTGGCTTCAGCATAAATGCATAAATATGAACATGTACTCTTCAGAAATATGTACTACTCCATAAAACTGAACATTCTAGTACTTGGAATTGCATTTCTGGTTATACACCTAGGGAGTCAAATGCAGATGGGTGCGAGGGACTTGACAAAAATGTTCATAGCGGTGTGTGTTATAATAGCAAGATACAGCACTAAAAGAAGGTATTTTGTCTATGTGAACTCCATACATACTTTATTTTTTTTGCTCTTCAAGCCTCTAGGTGCTAAATAATATGGAATGTGGGTGCAGAAGAGGCGAGGTGATGATCTTTTGACGTAGTCCAATTTACGAATATTGTATTCAAAGTAAGGGACTCTATCTAGTGTTTCTATGTTTTCAGTCCCGTTGCGATGCCCCTCGTGAAAAATCAAACTGAGTATCTGCTGACACCATATAGTACCTGAAAAATAAATAATCTTATTTTCAGTGATCAAGTCGGTTGTTTTGCGCCTGGACGCTGTCCCTGAGCTCTTCCCTCAAGGCTAGCGCTCTACCACTTGAGCCACAACACCACTCCTGGTTTTCTGGTGGTTTAATGGAGATAAGCGTTTCACTGCCTTTCCTCAGGAGCCTGGGCTGGCTTTGAATCATGATTCACAGATCTCAGCCTCCTGAGTAGCTAAGATTACAGGTGTGAGCCACCAGCGCCCAGCTTCAAGTCTTTCTAATAACAAATGTCAACTGTTAGGCCATTCATCTTAAAATAGTGTTCTTTTTTCTTTTCATAACTCCAAGGATGCTCATTTATTTGTCTAATTTTGTTGTGTGAATCTAGTGGTAATGGTAAAAGGCAAAGCCAATCTTGAAGTGAAGTAATGTATTTCAAAATGATTTCTACTTATTTTTATGGCCAGATCATGTTTGACTGCCTTCTTGTTTTGGGACAGTTACCTCATAAGTAAAGAAGTTTATGTGAAACCTCAACCACAGCTCTACTTCTTAGTCTGCTTAGGCATTATAAAAAAAACTCAAGTCGGGCTGGGAAGGTGGCTCAGTGGTAGAGTGCTTGCCTTGCATGCATGAGGCCCTGGGTTCGATTCCTCAGCACCACATAAACAAAAAGAAAAAAGCCGGAAGTGGTGCTGTGGCTCAAGTGGTAGAGCACTAGCCTTGAGCAGAAGAGCTGAGGGACAGTGCCCAGGCCCAGAGTTCAGGCCCCACGACCGGACCCAAAAAAAAAAAAAAAAAAAAAAACTCAAATCCTACCCAAAAATCATGGTTGGGCACCATGATCTTTTCAATTGCAGCCTCCAATGTAATTTGTGTAACAGGTATGTGGCATTGATCCAGATAAGGGTTGAGAAGCGGGTTTTCTGAACTTTTGGCTCTGGATGGTCCTAAACTATGTTCCTCTTGTCCTCAGCCTTCCATGTAGCTAAGATTACAAGCATGAGCCACAAACATCTAGCTGGAAAACTAATCTCTATGGGAGACAATGCATCTTTCACAAATGAAGCATTTACTACTTGGTGAAATGATTTCTGGCTGGTTCAAATCTATCCCACAGACTAAGCCAGTAGGTCAGTATTTACCAAGTCCTACTCAGTAGGACTCAGTATTTGTTATCAAAATTGACAACACATAAAATGCAAATGGCCTTATATTAAAGTCCCTTTGTATAACTTTTCTCTGATTTCAAACGATAGAATAAGCTACTGCTGATTTCTGGAAATGAGCAAATTTTATGCCTATATTACCAAACCAAAGCAATGACTAGCACATAATGGCCTACTACGGCACAGTGCTGATATCTCACATCTGTGATTATAGATCATGGAGAGACTGAGATCTGCAGGACTATGGTTATCTGGAGAGAAGAGTCCACAAGATTCCATCTTTAAAACAATCAGCAGGGGCTGGGAAGGTGGCTCAGTGGTAGAGCTCTTGCCTTGCATGCATGAGGCCCTGGGTTCGATTCCTCAGCACCACATAAGCAAAAAGAAAGAAGCTGGAAGTGGTGCTGTGGCTCAAGTGGTAGAGCGCTAGCCTTGAGCTGAAGAGCTGAGGGACAGTGCCCAGGCCCAGAGTTCAGGCCCCATGACCGGACCTCCCCCAAAAAAATCAGTAAAAAGCTAGACTGGAGCTGTGACTCAAGTAGTAGAATAACACATGAGTAAGCAAGTGGGCCAAACAAATGTACCCTTATTCATACCCAGGGCAAACAAACAAACAAAACCAAGACCAACCAAACAACGAAAGATGACCCACTATTTTCACTTACCAGATTTTGGATATGTAATTACAAAAACATCATCATCCCTAATTTCAAAATCTTCTATATTTTTAAGGAACTCGATGTCAACTAAAGTGCGTTCAAAATTATAGCCTCTAAAGTTTAATAAGTATTCATTTGTATTTTCCATGATTATTCCACCTGCAAGTAAGAACATACAATTCTCAAGTTCTTTGGATTTTATAATAACTATTACTTATGAGTGTTCAATATCATAGCCTCATTTAAGTAGTTTCTGTGTATCAATATTTACTATAATAAACACATTACACATATTCAGTGATTTAAACTTCATAACAATCCAAGTTGGTTTTTTAAAACTTTTTCCTATTTTATATATGAAGAAAAAAAGTTAAGCAGACTCTCCTAAAGTCCTAGGAAAGAATTATCATGATTCTAAACAAACAGATGAGAAAATTAAGAAGAAACAGAGAAGCCAACTAAAGTATTCAAAGTTGCACAGCTTAGCAAGACTGAGAGTTGTGGATAATACAATATGGCTACAGAGTTTAAACTTTTTAGAGTTCCTTATTATTTTCTATTTATTATTTTTTAGTTATTTTCTTTTACTGTGCCAGTACTGAAGCTTAAATCAAGACCTTGCACGATAGCTTGGCCTGTTCTCTCTCAGGCAGAACTATACAATATGAGCCATGTCTGGCTCTAGTTCAGGGTTTTGTTGTTGTTGTTGTTAATTGGAGAGGAATCTCTTAGATGTGTCTACCTGGCTGGCTTCAAGTGAAGATCTTCAGATCTCAGACTCAAGAGTATCTAGAATTATAGACATGAGCCACCACTACCTACTAATATTTTCTATTCTTATTGTTTACATAAAATAGAAACTTTCAAAAATAGAAACTCTTTAATAAATGTGATTTTGTTTGTATTTTTTTCTAGTATGTGAATGAAGAAGCTTCTGAGGTTTGGGATGGGAGGTTCAGGTTTTCCATTATTCAAATGAATAATGGAAAATTCTTACCTGATACCAATTGGTTTTACTCTACGAATGTTCTTCCAAATGGCTCCAAGATACTACATGGAAATGATCATTTCTAACAGAAGATTCTAAATCTGAAATTGGATATAACTTTAAAGTAAAACACAGATAAAAAATCTTTTCAAAATCTGGACCAACCAAATTATTTTTATCCAATCAGCCTGAGAAACATCTACTGGTTGGGAAATAGGTAATAGTATGCAAAAGAGTAAGTTCTAAGAACATTCATTTTAGAACTGGTACAAAGTTGTAAAGTTCATTTTTCGACATAACGACTTGTACATCTTGTTGCAATGGGTCCACCTGTATCCCTATTTAAACGATTTACAACTTTGGCTGGGGTAGGGAGGGTGGGTGGGAGATGGGAAGGGATGGGAAGGGGAAACAAAGGAGGAGGCAACAATGCTTGACAAGAAATGTACTCATTAAAACTTGTCCATGTAATTGTAACCCCTCTGTATGGTATTTTAGCAATAAAAAAAGAACTGGTACATACTAAACTGTTTTTTAAAGAAATTTTTGTGCACACCAAAAAGCTGAAAATTTGGATTTGTCTGAATGACATGTCAACAAACAACATTTACATTTTTGCCATCCAAATACCCTGGCCTGATAGAAGAAATCCATCTTCAGTCATTTGCAGAGAACCAGTAGAAATCCTATTAGAATCAGTTGGGTAAAGCTTTGTGGGCTGTGACTTGTCTTGAATTGAAAGTTGTAATTAAGATCTTATTACCATTTACGCGTTTTGTTCTCCAGAAGTTGAAGTCTATGAATCCTGAGTTTTAAGTACGAGGACTAGAAGAGCTGGGTTCATGGATCTCAACAAACGACTTCAAGAGAGATAGATACAGAGCTATTTTGATGATGGCATTGTAAGGGAAACCTTAGAGAATTCTGTCCTTAAAAGGTAGTGTCTATCCCATGGACAAATTAATAAGTACATAAGTGAAAAATAAGGTTGAGGTGAAAAGCAAAAATGAAGTGTGGATCACTACCACACACCTCCTAATAGCCCACTACACATTCATCAAGGATTCCAGAAACTGAATCTTGAGAAAAAGAGAATGTCAAGTACTCACTACAATCATTCTGAATGAAACTTCCCCCACGCTTGTGATATTTATTATGCTTAGATCCTCAACTGGTGTGCTTTTTACACCAGAGAGAGAGAGAGAGAGAGATAGACAGAGAGAGAGAGACAGAGAGAGAGGCAGAGAGAGAGAGAGTTCAAGGCATTTGTGGCAAGAAATGAGATAGTAAAAGCAGTGTGAGAGGAATTTATGTAGGGGATAGACAGGGGTAGTGTATTATTTGAAATCTCTGATACATCGATAGATAGATAGATTTATATATATATATATGAAAAAGATTGTAGAAGTAGCAAGGGTTGGCTAAAGCTTCTTATTCTTTCACCATAGTACAAAGAGAAGAAGGGAAAATAAACACAGGGGAAATTCAAATACATATTATGTGGAAGAGGGGGTGCAACCTGCAAGACACTCTCAACCTGCCTTTTACTACTCACAGTTGTCGATCAGCCAATGAAGCAAAACCTCCTCTGATGAAACGTTTAGACGGCAGGAATTGAGTGCTGCTGAAGAATAAATACTCTCTACAGAACTTGTTTTGACCAACGAGGAGTGTTCTACGAAATGACCTGCAACTCAGCTTGAGTAAATTAGATAAGACTTTGCTGATACCAGGAAAAATATATCAATAATTACAGGGACTGTAATTACCTAGAATGAATTGTAGAACAAATATCACATTTACTCAATTGCAACAATTACAGAACTTAGAACAAGTATGTTGTACAGCTACAAGTACAACATGATTTGGACAAATGCTTGGCTATGATTGCAGGTAAGTAAATATTTTTAGACTTCAGATTCAGGTCCATTCTTCAGGTCTGTTTTTGGACATACTGTCTTGTATATACACACATATTTGTACTGGTCCTGGGGCTTGAATTCAGCCTAAGCACTCACCCTGAGATTTTTTTGCCCAAATTTAGTGATCTATCACTTGAGTTAGAGCTCCACTCTGGCTTTTTTATTTTTTTGAGAAAGTTATTGGAGATAAGTGTCACGTGGACTTTCTTGCCTGGGCTAAGTTTTTACCATCGCTGCCTCCTCGGCAGCTAGACTTACAGGCATGAACCACCAGTGTCCAGCATCTTGTTCTATTATTAATCTGTCTATCCGTGTATTTGTTCTGTTGCAAAACTGGCTATCAAGGATGGCAGGTTCTAGTTGCTTTATTTTTTTTCATGGCAAGACTCTGACCTTTGTGAGATGTACAGCAGTGACATTTTGCCATCCTCATAGGGAGAAATAGATGTATTTAGGAATGTCCAGACCTCATTCTTCACAGAAATAGAACAAGAGCTGCACTCCTTCTATTATGCTACCATTTTAGGATAATATCAGAACACAAAACTCAATTTATTATTGCTAATGGAAAATATGCCACCTTTCCTTGAATGTATTTTTGAAGGAGCTTCTAAATATTCCAATTAGGGAGATTCATTCTCATCCTTTCCAACATGTTATATTCTCATTTGGGCATGGAAATGTATTCTGTGCACATGATAATAACATGAAATTTATTTCTATATACCACCATAAGAACAATTATGTAATTTATTCATATGAACATTTGCTCAACCATATATGTAACTGCTTATTATTTACACATCGTAAGATCTAATCTATGCCCTCTGGATCAAAGAATATGCAGAGTAATAAAGTACAGTAATTTATATTACAGATTTCTAATCTTTTTAATGAACAAATCTCTCTGATAAGGATTAAGGACATAGTGTGTACTCTGCAGATGATTTAACCTTGTGAATGTCGATCCTGTCTCTTGTTTCTCATAAAATGTGTGTGTGTGTGTGTGTGTGTGTGTGTGAAAGAGAGAGAGAGAGAGAGAGAGACAGAGGGACAGATAGAGACAGAGACAGAGAGACAGAGACCCTTCCTCAAAAATAGCTGGGTATGGTGTCTTATGCTTGTCCTTCTAGTTGGGAAGCTAAGATTGGGAGGATTGTGCTGAAAAAGTCCAGGAGCCCCCAAGGTGGGCATGGTAGCATGCACCTTTCATCCCATCTATGACATGAAGTAAAAAAAAAAAACAGGAGGGAAAGGGCCCAGGCATATACCTTGATGGGAAGTGAGACTCTATTTAAAAGTAGCCAAGGATCAACTTCATGAAGTAGGTGAAAGATCTCTAAACTTAAAACTGAGTAGCTGGATAAGACACAAATAGACGGAAAGGCGTCCTATTACTTAATTTTTCACATTGCTAAAATCTCCACATACTTAATTTTCAGATTTACTGCAATCGCTATTACAGTATCAGTAATCTGACCCCCCATAAAGCACACTCAAGATTGAATTTCACCTCAAACATCAGCAGGGAATCTTGGGGATGAAGGTATTGTTACAGGAAATTCAAAACAAGATATTCTCTGAGCTCTAAATCCTTATGTCTACCTATCACTTGGTCATTCTATCCTAGAAATTTATCCTTTCCTATCTAAAATCTAATCAACCCCAAGGAAAAGCTTTAGGGTTTCATGAAAAAGTTCAGTTCTTCAAGCTGAGTGCTGATGGCTCACACCTGTAATCCTAGCTACTTGGCAGGTCTAGATTGGGAGAATCATGGTTTGGGACAAAGTTCAGAAAAAGTTTCTGAGACCCATTGTGAATGGAGAGCCGGAAACGGTGATGTGTGCCTAGGTAGGCCATAAAATGGAATGATGTCCAGATGTATGCCAGATAGGGAAGCAAAGAATAAGCAGCAGTAAACAGGAGTTTATGGCTCAGTGATAACATAACCTGCCTAGAAAGACTGATGATTCAAGTTCAAACCCCAGCACCCCCCCAAAAAAAAGTACCTCAAAGGCAATTCTCTGAATGCAGCTCCAGATCAATCATTTGTCATCAATATATACCTTAATCTTTCCACACAAGAAAACTACCCTCCTATAAAACCCAAGACCTGCCGGGCGCTGGTGGCTCACGCCTGTAATCCTAGCTACTCAGGAGGCTGAGATCTGAGGATCGCGGTTCAAAGCCAGCCCGGGCAGAGAGACCGTGAGACTCCTATCTCCAATAAACCACCAGAAAACCGGAAGTGGCACTGTAGCTCAAGTGGTAGAGCGCTCGCCTTGAGCTGAAGAGCTGAGGGACAGCGCCCAGGCCCAGAGTTCAAGACCCACAACCGACAAAAAAACAAAAAAAACCCAAGACCTGTCATTCTCTTAAATAAATTTCATTGCCAAATCTCTGTCATGGCTGGGTACTATGAAAAATGACCACAAGTAGGCTGTGCTTCCTACTTTTTCCATCAAAAGCCTTCCATACTGGAAAATTATTATCTGTTTAACCCAAACATCTTAACCCTCATTAATTCTTGAGAGCAAAATGAATTGTGATCCTCACTAGTGATCCCTCATCTGTTCTTTGAGAGACTTCATGTCACAATTCAAGTGCACCCAGTCCTGTCTTTTCTATCACAAATGGTTATGTCCACAACTATTCACCCATTATCAATTCCTCTTTCAGCTGGGAGAGATAATTCTCCAAATTGCACTTACTATAAATTTTTCATTGTCATGCTTCTATGGTTGAAGAATTTACTTCCTCCTTAAAAGTAGTATCTATCTCTTCCTTGTTAATGATCATGAAACTGCTGCATTGTTGGTGGGAGTGTAAACTCGATTTGACTTTTGTATGCAAGTATTGTGTAAATCAATGTCAGTACCGTTCATCCAGTTATTAAAGTCAAATCTAATAAGGAGAAAAAAATGATCATGAAATTGTATTTTTGGCATATTCTTTCTCTTACCAATCTTTGGAGAGTATTTTCCTTCTTTTGACTTCATCCTTTTCAATATGCCATTATAAAATCAGAACTGATCAATGGATACTTTTCCTTTATGCCTTAAAGAAGGATATCCCACAAGAACAATTTCAGCCTTGATGGTATATTCCAATCTCTCAGAGGAGCTGAGCCTCAGTAACCAAGAAACTATCAAGGCTCCACCTAGTTCACAAAATGAAACC